TCTAACCTACCCTACTTAATTCTTGATATAGTACTGTATCGATATTTTTTTTTTAGATGATGACGATGGTGGTGCAGATATTGGATCAATAATTTCCCAGTTATTAGGTGGTATCAATACAGATGGCTCTGACGGAAATAATGCTGATCAAGGTGTCCAATTAAACTTTGCATATATCATTTGCTTATACATACAATTAATCCCTAATTCTGATGGATCATGGAGTTCCTATATGTGCCCCGGGGGTGCTGTGTGTTTGATTTCAGTGGTTGTCATCGGACAGTGGTGTCTGCTTGATCGTGGTAGGCATTGTCTTCCTGGTGATCGCTGATTCTCATTCATGCATGTGCCCCCTTTTAAAAAAATTTAATTAATAAAGAATGTTATGCTTGTTAAATGTATATTAAATTTTTGTCAATTAATGCTGGGATGCCCTCGAAAGTGATTAAGTTCACTATTGTTTTCCCCCGGGTATTAATTTGACTTCTTTTCTGTACTGTATTACTTATTCGTTACTATTTGTTGTAAATGTTTACCGGAATAAATAAATGAAATGAAATGCTAGCAAATCAAAATGAATGTGTAATTATAGCAAAGTAGAAATTCAATTTATATTATTATTCATTTTATTCTGCAACAACGATTTGTCAAAGATATCTAAACATGAACTCTGGAACTAAGTAAAAAAAGTGAGTAAATATTATAATTTAAAAAATGACTATCATAAATATACATACATATCTTATATTATATATATTTGTTTATTTATTCATACAAAGGTGTTACAAATCCTGAGCGGCATACTGATGGCGTGGGTGATGCTAATGGTGATAGTGGAGAAGTGAAAACTACTGGCAACATTGAGAGGCCTGGTAAATAGAAATGGTCTTATTGAAACTTGTTAAAGCATAAGTTTATAAATAATGTGTTATTAGTAATCAAATAGGTGTCGGTTACAATATTAAGTATTGCTATGAACAGTATTACTATGAAGTAATACAGACTTAACAAAAAACTACTAGGACACCATTTCCTAATTAATTCAAAGATGGTGCAAACCCCCTGCCGTATACAGGTGGCGGTGGTGGGGATGGTGATGGTGACGAAAGTGGAGAAGTACAAGATACCGGTAACATTTACAGGCAAGGTAAATATAATGGTACTTCAAGTTAATGATAATTCCTAGAACATGCATACCTCCACCCTGTGCCTGTATACTAGATAATATAGTCAACAAAATGTTTAACTATCTGTAGCTCTGCTCTTTGACTTTTCATATTCAGACCACCATGTCTGTATCCACTGATTTTTAGATGATTATTAGAAAATCATAAGGTATTGTCAACGTTGAAAACAAAATGATCACTCAATTTTGCATTGAGTCAAATTATTTAGATGATTATAAAGCATAAAAAATAGTTTTATAACCCATTTGCCCCAGATTGCAAAAGAAAACCGTTCAAATTAGGCCTATAATAGCCGATTTTGTGAGAAAAACGTGTCCGATTTTGACTAATTTACTGTGTTAAGGTGTGCAATGAACAGTTCAGTGAGCAAATTACGGTACATTTCCATTATGAAATAGGTTATTTGGGTACAGTAATTAAAATTGTTTGGATTAAGTAATACTTAATGATTTTACAACATACTAAAACAACAGTTTTTAATTAATTCAAAGGTGATGCAAATCCCGTGCCGTATACAGGTGGTGGTGGTGGAGATAGTGATGACAGCGGAGAAGTACAAGCTACCGGTAACACTTACAGGGCAGGTAAATATAATGGTACTTCAAGTTATTGATAACTCCTACAATATGCATACTTCTACCCTGTAATATCAGGTATTATAGTCAACCAAAAATTTGACTTTCCTTGGATATTACCTTTGACCTTTTCATATTTAGACAACCATGTAATACTCCGTTAATTTATACAATGATCTCATTCGTCAGGTTTTTTTTTCAAAATATTAAAAAAATCTGTGTCTCATAGGCCTATTATTTATTATTAATTTTTTTGTGTCTTAGAAAAATCAGTTGCACAACGTGCCAATTTTTTCCTCAGGAGCCTGGCTGTAAAACTTTCAGTGACTTTAACCTTTGAACTTTGATCTTTTCACCACAAATTTAATAAAATTTTTCTTACCCACATGTTTCAAATCCACTAAATTTTATGATGATCATTCGTTAGCTTTTTGCAAAATTCTGCTAATAAACCAAAAAAAAAAAAGAAAAGAAAAAGAAACAGACAAACAGCAGTAAATACATTGGCGGAGCTATTACTTGTGATTGCACTATAAATATAGTTGTTATTAGGTATTAAATAGGTTTCGGTTACAATATGATTGTCTATGAATTAATACTTAATATACAGACTTAAAAAAACATAGGAAACCATTTCCTAATTAATTTAAAGGTAGAGCAAACACCCTGCCGTATACAGGTGGCGGTGGTGGGGATGGTGATGGTGACGACAGTGGAGAAGTACAAGATACCGGTAACATTAAAAAATAGGTTATTTGGGTACAGTAATTAAGATTGTTTGGATTAAGTAATACCTAATGATTTTACAACACACTAAAACAACAGTTTTTAATTAATTCAAAGGTGATGCAAATCCCGTGCCGTATACTGGTGGCGGTGGTGG